CTGAGGTCAACCCCTTCCAACTCTGAAACAAGTATATAAGACGAGTGTGGATGGGAGAGTTGGAAGGGGTCGACCTCAGCGAACGTACCTCAATCAGATTGAGGACGTTTTTAGCAAAGGCCAGCTTAGGAGTACCCTAATTAAGTTAATAACAATGTACCTACCTATATAGTTTAAGTTTAAAAAATTTGGCTCTCAAAAGAAATTTCAATTGTTGTACTGTTGATATTTGGCTCTGTTGACTAATGAGTTTGCCAACCACTGGTCTACACCATAAGATCCTAAAGCACAGCCCAAGAGCCACATTTGACTAATAGACCTATTTGTTTGGTTCATCCAGTGCTTTTTTTTTTTTTTTTTTTAAAGAATGACTTACCTATATTTAGATTGGGAGATTTCATGTAAAAATCTAGATTTCTGACTTTCATGAAAAAATGGGAAGATCTGGCCAAACTGGGAACTTTGCTGGAGTTCCCAGTTTGGCTGGAGTGGAGAGGTAGCAGCACCCTTCAGATATAGGGTACACTCCTGTTTCCCATAGTCCCCAAGCGATCAACTTATTCACCTTACCTGCCCATCCCTGTAGTTATCTGAAATTTTAACACCTGCTCTAGAGCAGAATAAAATAAATATGGTCAGCTTCGTGGTGTGACCTGTGCTAGTGGGGGAACAGATAAATCAGCTTTATTAGAGAAAACTGGAAACATCTGTTCAACTCACCTGTGAATCTTTGCGTTGGCTTTCCCCAACTTCAGTTGTTTCCATTGATCTTCCAAATCACACCCAGCTCAAATCTCCTCCTTCCTAATGCATCAGCAACTCCAGCCGATTGCTATTTCTGCCTCCTGCACAGCATTACTCACTGGAGTACTTGGCTTTGCCCTGTTAGTCGACTGGTTTAAGTGCACAAAACCTAGAAAGCAGGGGCTGAGCCTTCTACCTCGCTGTGTCCCCTCGGAGGGCAGAGTCTAGAGCTGAGACAAAATACGTTCCAAGGACATTTGTCAAACACGTTGCTCCCCGTTTAGTGAGGCAGTGCAGAAGCATGGCAGAGTCTAGGCTTGGGAATTCCATTGACCGTTTACTATGACTAACGGCACTGAAGCTTCAGCTTCCATCACAGTGGGTTATGACAACGCAGCGATAATGCAGATAAAGCATTAGTGTCCCCCCCCCTCCCCCAACACAGAAACCCCGCTTATTCCTGAAGACCTGATTCAGGCGCCCCTTCTTTGGCTACCTTTGTCCCGACTTCGCGCTCCTACCCTGCCGGCTCCACACCTTTGGGCCGGCTGATCGGCGCCCCCGCCCACTCCTCAGAGGGCGGCCAGCTCAGGGCTGAAATGAATGAGCGGGCAGGGGTGGGAGGGAAGAGCCGGAGACCAAATCCGTCGTCATTTTGCAGAGGAGGCAGGCCCGGAAGTGGAAAAGGATGCGCCAGGAGCCAGAGTCCGGAGCCCCTCCACCCACAAGTCCTTGTCCAGCCCCCACTCGGCGCCTCACCTCCGGGCCCCGCCCGCCCAAGGGCCCGCGGGCAGAAACGGCTCCGCGCCAACAGGAAGCCCCGCTACCCTCAGAAGCAGGGGCGGGAATCTATTCTCGTTGGGAATAGAGTTCTGCTCAGACCGTAGGCTGCTCCGTGCCCTGCAGAAGTCGGGGTTACTGATACAGGGGTCTGTAAAGGTGTCGATCGGCTGCCTGTTTCCTTCCGTTGCTGTAAAGCCTTCATAGAGCCGCGGGCAGGGAAAGCTGCATTCATCACTGTTTGGATTCTTAATGTGGAGCACGGGCAGGGTGCTTATGTCGTCAACAACGTACACATTTTACCGAATCCTTTGAGAACCTGCATGTTAGATGAGCACTTTGTGGCACTCACCCAGCACTGGTGCATAAGACAAGATAGTGAAGGAGGCCCTCAGGTATTCCATAGAAATTGAGGCTCTCAGTGTATCAGAACTTGAAGCAGTTGTCTAGATGCTACTGGCAAGTCACAGCAACTCTAGTCGAAAACTTTCTATACAATGGTTATATAAAACTTTCATACAAAAAAATGAAAAAAACAACAACATGCTGTTCACATTAGGAGAAAGGCAGTAAGACAGGTTCGAGGGGCAGTGTTCCCAACTAGCTTTTCACCTAGGCCTTCTTCACAATGAGCCATGATGCAGCCCCTAATGCTGCTGTCTGCTATAAAAACAAGAACCACTCTTCTTATTGCAGAAAATTGTTAGAAAGCCACAAAGTAGGGGTGTGGCCTCTATCCAGACAGCAACTGTCACCTGAACTTCCCTGAAAACTGACCCACTGGAAACCAAGTAGTATCCCAAATTACCATACATAAAACAAAGGCTCTTCATTTTAAGTTTTTAATGAAAGTTGTATATAATATTACTTTATTCCTGCATCTTCTCAATTGTTTCTTCCTTGTATTTCCCCTTTTCCTTTTCCTACTTGGGCGGAGATTTTGGTTTACCTTCAAAGAATTCTTTTTTGCGGTCTTTGTCCAGCTTTAAGTCTAGTGAAAAACCACCGGCAGGAAAAATAAAGACACTTCTAAACAACACAGATCACATGGGAAGGCCCAACATTCAATTGCATTTACCAAAGCTAGATAATAAACACCAAAACATGAAATGATGAACTCAAAAGTGCCAAAAAAATGATTCTTCAGCTCCCAAATCAAACCCATTAAACATTCACTATTGTTCTACCAACAAAGAGGCAATGTGATGTCAATGAATTTTCTCGTGTCCTCTTCTGTGCTTTATTAGAAAATCTGCTTCTTTTTCTATTGCAGAATATACCATTCACTCCTCTCATCCTAGTTTTACAAGCTAACCAAATCTTAGTTTTGTTTCGATACCAACTTTAGAGCCATAACATTGGAAAGCCTACACTCATGCTTCAACCTGCAAAACCTTCAATGAAGTTATAGTACAGATCTTATTTCAACTCATCACTAAAGACCTCTAGACTATGATCAATTTTAGTCTTATGAAGAAAGGCGAGGTAAGAGGGAAGAGAGCACGGAACTAGTTCTGGAAATATAGCATGGCGACCAAAAGAACATCTCTGCCATCATGGAACTTCTATTCTAGTCCGGGGAGATGGAATGATGGAGAACAGGTGCTAAATCACATAGGGTAATCAGGTGAGGCGCTACTGACAGGGCTACATTTCAACAAGACACCAGTAAAAGAAGGGGTAAAAGTTATCTGGGTAGAGAAGCGCCCCACAGATAACAGCAAGTACAAAGGGCCAGAGGCAGGAGAACTGAAGTTTTGTAGGTGTGCATTTCTCAAACTCAAGTGTGCCTAAGAACCCACTGGAAGGCTGTTAAAACAGCTACCTGGGTCCCATCCCCAAATTGTCAATAGAACTGGGAGCAGAATTTGCAGTTCTATCAAGTTGCCAGGTCACCCTGCTAACTAGTGGATACACTCTGAACAGCAAGGCAAGTAGACACATGGAGAATGGAAGATGACATGAAGTGGCTTGTGAGGGGTGATCAGGTATGGTCTTATAGGTCACTCTGACGGTTAACAAGCAGACAGGATTCTGTATATAACATACAGCAATCAACAGGTCTTACTGATCAATGTGGGGCATGTAATAAAAAATTACACTTTGGACCTAACCGGTTTAGCTCAGTGGATAGAGCATTGGCCTGCGGACCGAAAGGTCCTAGGTTTGATTCCAGTCAAGGGCATGTGCCTTGGTTGCAGGCACATCCCCAGTGGGAGGTGTGCAGGAGGCAGCTGACTGATGTTTCTCTCTCATTGATGTTTCTGACTATTCCTCTCCCTTCCTCTCTGTAAAAAAACCATCAAAAAAAAATATATATATATATATATTTATTTTAAAATGGCACTTTGGCCTGAGGAATTAGGAGCACAGAGCTGTTATACACTGTGATGGTGGCAAACTGTGAGGTTAAGGATAACATCAGGAGTTTGAACATGTTAGGTTTTAGATAACAATTAGATACCCAAGTTGAAAAATAGACAACTGGATTGGAGGTCTAGGTTGGAATCATCTGCAATTCCTAAGACTGGAATAAGAGATGACTACAAAGGCACAAACTGAGGCAGTATCATGACACTCGTAATCCAGGGGTAAAGAACATGGCAAAATGCCAATAGTGAATTGCAGGTGAAAGATATGCAGGTGTTTTACTGTATAGTCTTTTGACTTTTCTGCAGTGTAAAATTTAGATTTGTGGTTCCAACTTAAAATCTTACAAAATAAACACTTCAGTATCTAAACACTCACCAGGTGCCATTACCTTAATATTAAACGTAATTTTAAAAAACGGTAAGAAGGAAATTAGAGAGTAATATTGGAGAATTCGTATTAAAGTCCAGGACAGGCACCTGCTATGGGAATCCGACCACACTTTCTATCTCAGCTTAGATTATCGCTATTAATTTGATCCATCTTTGAGCTTCAGGTTCCCCCCATTAGCAAAGGGCTTAGTAGCTACTTTGCAGGGTTGTAAAGCTGCCTTGCTGCTCACTCAACAGTTTAATACACCAAAGCAAGCAGGGTATAAGCTCCATTTCATCTAAAAATTACCCCACTTCCTACATTTTAAGATCTGTTCATTGTTATTATTGACCAATCAGGTTACTAAGCTTTTGAGGAAAAAGTACTTTAAATATACACATATAATGATGGCTAAAGACCTTGATATTTTTTTTTTAATATATTTTATTGATTTTTTACAGAGAGGAAGGGATAGAGACAGAGAGTTAGAAACATCGATGAGAGATCAGCTGCCTCCTGCACATCTCCCACTGGGGATGTGCCCGCAACCCAGGTACATGCCCCCGACCGGAATCGAACCCGGGACCCCTCAGTCCACAGGCCGACGCTCTATCCACTGAGCCAAACCGGTTTCGGCAACCTTGATATTATTAGAATACTCAATTCACATCTAAAACCTATCTCCATGGGACTGTTCTATAAACAAGCACTCACATGTGGCAGCAATAGCTTTCATGCCCTTCTCCCCCTCACGCTTTCTCAAAAACACCTACCTTGCTGGGGTGAATGCCCACGTGAACAGTTGTCCCATTAGCTTTCTCCCGTTGCACTCGTTCAATGTAGATGACGTATTTCTTCCTGTAAACCTGGACTACTTTGCCAATTTGCTGCCCCTTGTAATGTCCTCGAACAACCTGAGTGCAGATTCAAATATAACAGAAATACGTAGATAAAAAACAAGATTAACCTTGTAAATCAGGAAACTATGAATCTTGTAAACATTAATCACTCTATCAGATCTATAGGACCTCTCCATTTTGAAAGCTTTAAATAGAAATGAGCTAGTAATTCTATCTCTAGCTTTAATTCATCTGCAAATAAACCACACCCCCAGAGCAATCTACAGTGATGGACTGTGCACCCTTGTAACTGATGGTTCACCATTAGTGGTGCGCTTGTTAAAAGCCCCTGGCTATTTGTAGCAAGTGGAAAACAAGGAAATTGTTATTCCATCTCAAAGGGAGCAGTAGGAACACGTATAGTAATTCACAACCCATTCAAGTGTCCAACCTAGTGCCAGCCAAAGGGTGGGCAGCAGCACGTATTTAAGGAAACAAACCACTTCTTCCCCAAAGGTTAACCGACACAGTCTTCTACCCAGGAACCCCCAGCTTGTCAGGAGGCAACCCACAGTGCTTCTGGACAGACGCGTCTTTCCAACTGCACACTTTCTTGCATTAAGAGATGCTGAAAGCAGAAGGCTGACTCCCAAAGCTAATGGCACTGTTTGCACCTGCCGGTGGCTGTTCTCAATCCCTACCACTATTTGGGAACCAGTTTCATTTACTTGACTGGGCGCTATCCTCATGAAATGTTATTGCCCACACGCAAGCCACTTTAGAGACTGCGTAAAGCCTTGCTGCAGGTTACTGCTAAGAAACATTCATAGCAATTTCCACTTGCATAGATTTGACACATAATTTTCTAGCAAACTCAATCAATCACATGCAGCCATGGTTGTTAGATTAGAACCTCTGAATTTAAAAAAATCATTAAATTTATTGGGGTGACAGGTATCTGGATTGTGATTCAAAGACTGTTCACGGGTCCTCAAAAGCCTCTTCCATGGCCAAACATAGCGAGAAAAAGATAAACCCAAATGTTCTAGTTCTGACTCTCTTTCTTGCTCTTCTGTTGAATCCTGGCTGGACCTGATGCCTGGATCCACTGACTTTCACCACAGAGTGAAAGGCGGCATCCCTTTTGTTCGTTTCCCGTCCCTGGCTCGGCTTCTGTGATCCTGCTCGGGAACAACTGTCTGCGATGCCTCGCTCTCAGGACGCAGCCCCTTTTCTAGGCCAAGTGACCCCAACACAGCACATACCTGGACCTCGTCATCCTTTCGGATGGGCATGGACCGAACATTGTACTTCTGTCTCAGCTCCTTGGAAAGAGGAGACGACATGATCTTCCTTCGAATGTGGGAAGGTGCATTGAAATGCCTTTTACGGTTCTTGCTCCGGTCAGAAGTCACAAAGGGGTTGAACTTCATTTTGACTAAATAAAAAGTTAAAAAAAAGGGGGAGGGGGGGGCGTAAATGACCAAAACCCCAGTCACTTTCCAAACAAGTAACGGCAACCATTTCACCCTGAAAGTTGAGAATGCTCACAGAAACTGTCGGGTTAACTCCATCACAAACTACTTAACCTAACGGGCCATCGACTGAGGCTTGAAATTCTAAATATTTTGCTTTACTGATACAATTCCAACGTTTGTTTATGCAATAAAATATTTTCCATTAGTAACACAATTGTTTTAGTTATTAAATTTCTTGTTTACACTCTCCAACTCCTTAAGTCCTGCGACAGGGCTTTCATTTCTAATGCATTAGGGCAAAGCTGACAACTCCGTTCTTCAAAAATCACGTTTGAGAAACACCAACCAGCGATAATCTTACACGGGCTTGATGAACACACTCGGCTCCCTCCAGAATGAACCAGGCCACCCACCCGGAACCGGGAAAATGCAGATCTCAGGCCCCAAATACCTTCCAGTGGGCGGGCACGGCTTGAAATTCCGTGGCTTTACTAACAGTTACTTCGAGACCATTCTTTAGAAACTACACTGCCTGGACCTGACTCCATATCCACAGGCCCTCTCCCTCCACCTCCGTTTCCGAATCCCAAAATCCTCTTTCCCTTCCCCGGCCAGACGGCCCCGGAGCTAGTGGGAAAACAGGCGGAAACCATCTTGGACCCTCTCCCTGGCTGCTACTCGGCCGCTGAGAGAGTATTGGGGATCCCGAAGTCAAGAGCCCCCGAGCCCAACCACGGATGGCTGCGGATTACACGCGCTTTCCCCGCATATCCTCACCCGCTGGCGCTCCTACGATGGCCGCAAGAGGGAAGAGACCCACACGCTGTTTCCGGTTCTGTAAGTTCACGAGAGATCTCGCGAGACCGAGGTCTAGAGCGAGAGAGGCGCGGAGTTTGAACGAGAAGAGGAAACTGGGGGGAAATTGATGACTAGTGCCACCTCTCGCCTAGGAGGGGAACTGCGAAGGACTACAAAACTCCCTTTTCAAGGTCCTGGGTCCTTTTTTCGGAGCTCTGGGTTCTGCAGCTGGTTGGTGCTTCTCAAACGTGATGTTTGAAGAACTGAGTTGTCAGCTTTGCCCTAATGCATTAGAAATAAAAGCCCTGTCGCAGGACTTAAGGAGTTGGGGAGTGTAAGGAGAGGATCGTTCCCCGGCGAGTGGCGGGGACTGCTCAGGGTCGGACTGCTCCAGTGGCTGCTGGGAAAACGAACGGCCCCAGGGGACCCCTGTCCCTTCACTCCTGAGCGCCCGGGCAGCGGACACTCCATTATTCCGCAAAGGACAGGTGCTATCTTTGACCGCCAGGTGGCGCTGGGACTCTAGCTGGCCGGTCACCCCGCTCACCTGACCACACCGTCCCTTCCCAGCTAAAGGCGTGGGCGTGTCGAGTGCGCTGGTCCTTGAACACGCCCTGAGCGGACGCCGCTGCCGCCCACACCCCACGGCGGGTGCTGAAGGTGCCTCCCGGCTCGCCCCAGATTTCGTCCGGGCGGGCGAGGGGCCGTCCGAGGACGGGGGCCACAGATCAGCCTCCCACTCCGCTCAACTGGCCAGAACCAGCGTTTCTCACCAGCCTGCAGGTGGTGCCGAGGTGCCGGGCCTCGACCGCACTTGGAAGGAGCCTGGTGTGCGGAAGCGTCTCCTTGCGCGAGCTGCGCCCCTTTCTGCACTTCACCTCCGGTCGTTCAGTCCAGGATCGGATGGAAGCGGGGCGGGGCGGAGGTTGGGGGGGCGGGGGTGTGGAGAGGGGCGCTCCTGGAGGCTAAGGAATTGCAGTGCCGAGCGGACGTCAGCCCGCCGCGCACCTGCAGGGGCCCGGATGCTTTTGCGTGAATAACACAGGTGTGTGCCGCGGGGAGGCCGACTTCATATCACAGGAGATGAGCTTGCCGAGCGCTGGGGCCATTTTTCTACTCCCTTTACATTGTTAGGTCCTTTAATACACTAAGTACCCGCGTGATGCTGGTGGTGGTGTTGTCCCCATTTTACAGATGGGGACACTGAGCCACAGGACACCGGGAGGGACTTGCGCAGGGCTATACAGAAGCCACAGGTTATAGACGAACCCGTGCAGGCTGGCTTCCCAGCCCCTCTGCTAACTGTATAAAGTCCCAATTGCGGGAGCCCATTAGGTCGAGTCAGGGAGTGAGGAACCATGCACGTGAGGCCCAGAGTAGTCAGTAGAGAACATGTGTTTTCATGACTTCAAATAGTCGCAGATTTTACTTATAATTTAAGAATTCAGTGGGAATTACTCTGCGATTCGTTTCAACAAATGTTTATGGAGCATCTTTCACGGGCCAGCCTCGAACTGGACTCCGGAGCTACACAAGGAAATTAGCCAAAGTTCGTGCCTGCAGGAAGCGCCTGTGTAAGACAGAGATAAGCAATGAAATCCACAGTCCCAGGATCCCAGGAGGGGTGCCGGCTGAGCCCCGGAGCCCTGGGTGCCCTGGGTGCCCTGGGTGCTTCTGTGCTTGTGCCCCGGGAGCGGGAGGGAGCGCTGGGGTCAGGGAAGGCTTCTGGGTGAGGTCATCCTTGCCTGAGTTTTGAGGAAACATAACATTAGCTCACCAGGCGGTGGGACTGGCTTTAGGGAAGGCATGGCGGTGCGAAGCAGCGTGACCACACATTGTCTCCAGGTGCCAGCGTGAGAGGCGGTCAGAGGGAAGGCACAGGGCCCTGGCCCAGACCCCACCAGCAATGAATGGCTCCTTTACTCGGCAGTCCTAGACTGTGCAAGTATATATTAGCGTAAAGTTGATTATGATACGTTAAGCAAAAATTTTAACTTCCACCGCTGAAAGTTTTTTTGTTTGTTTGTCTTTAAAAAAGAATGTATTGGGCCATTGCTAACAAGAAAAAGCAGGTTGTGGGCATGAAGTCTAAACCACCAGTAGCAGTGCCAGGTGGGAAAGACAATATGTCCGCAGCCCTGGAATTGAGGACTTTTTTGTTGTTGTTAATCCTCATCCGAGGATATTTTTCCATTGATTTTTAGAGAGAGTGGAAGAGAGAGGGAAAGACAGAGAGAAATACATTGATTGGTTGCCTCCTGCATGCGCCCTGACCAGGGCCTGGGCCGGGGAGGAGCCTGCAACCTATGTACATGCCCTTGATCAGATTTGAACACGGAACCCTTTGGTCCACAGGCTGATGCTCTATCCACTGAGCCAAACTGGCCAGGGCTGCTGACTTTTTTTAAAACATCAGGTGGCGTCCGGCTGGCATGGCTCAGTGGTTGGTTGAGCGTGGACCTATGAACCAGGAGATCACAGTTTGATTCCCAGTCAGGGCATATGCCTGGGTAGTGGGCTTGATCACCAGCGTGGGATCCCCAGGGGGCAGCCGATCTATAATTCTCATCACTGATGTTTCTATCTTTCCCTCTCCCTTCCTCTCTGAAATCAATAAAAATATATTTAAAAATTAATAAAGAAAATTGTATTAAAAAATAGAATAAGACATCAGGCAGGGGGGAGAAAGGTGTAAGTTGCTTTGAAAATTCACATTGGCTGCAGATAAGGTTGGTGGAATAAGGTGATGAATGGGCAACAGTCTGAAAAGCTCATGTGTGAGCAAGAATGGAGGCTCCTGGGGTGGGTGCAGTGGTGCCTGGCAGAAATAGCCGCCTGGGAGTTAAACACCAACATGCACTCGGGAAGATAAGCCATCTTGTTGCTTTGCCCTGCAGTTGTTAACTGATCAACCCCTTCTTGTCTCTACCTTCCACCCTGTTGTAATTTAATTTAGGACAGCTCAGAATTTTCTCCTTATCAAATGGGAGGTGGCTGTGGTGTGTGTGTGGGGGGGGGGGGGGGAGAGTAAGAGTCTACATTTAGCCGCAGGCCTCCACCCATCTGTCTGTCTTTCCATCTAATGGTATTTTCCTGTAGTGCCCTGACCCCAGGGTGGTTGCTTAAAACAAAAGGTTTTATTTGAGGAAGGGAAGGGAGGGTAGAGAAGAATAAAATCAAGCACATTAAATGATGGGGCCCAAAGGAATCCATGGGCACTTGGGAACACTGAGAACATTAAACTTTTTACCTCGTTCCTGGGGTGCCTGGTAAGCATAAGATGTCACGCCTCTAACCGGACAAACCAGCCGCACACACTCTGGAACCAAAGCGCCAGCCGTGTGTCAGCTTTCAGTGTTCCTGGGGACGGTACCGGGACCCGGCAGTGGGTGTGTTCACTGCAGAGATCTTTTGCTGTCTCATAAGATGTTTCAATTTAATTTTCAAATAAGTAATATGTTTACTTGGTTCAAAAATCACCAAGTGTTAAAGGAAAAATCCCCCCTCTCGTAGCATCATTTTCTCTAACCCTCCCACCACTCATCACATAGTTTTTTGTGTCTTTTTTAAGTTCTTTATGCAGGAATAAGCCAGTGGAATCATTGCCCCACTTTCTACACACATTGTAGGACCTGATGGCCAGGGCTCCACACCTTGCTTTTTCCCGTCGGCCACTGTGTCCTGGAGCCTTTTCATGTCAGGTCATAGACGTCTTCCTTGTTCTTTTTAAGATTTACAGCCAGTTCCATTGATTGGCATGTGGCTTTCCCCGGCGGTTTGTTATTGTGAACAACTGCAGTTACATAACATTGTGCCTCTGTCACTGCCCGTGTATGCACGTATGTCTGTAGGATACATTCCTAGATCAGGAATTGGTGGGTCAACCGGACATTTTGACAGATAATGTCAAACTTCCCATCCTAGGGGCTTTATCCATATGCATGCCCACCACCTCACCGGCTTCTCCTCAGCTTGGTCAGCTGCGTGGGCTCTGAGACTTCCGGGTTTGACGAGCTAATCGGTGAGAACGGGCATGCCCGGAGAATATTTGCATCTCCTTCACAAGTGTGGCCGAATAAACGTTTAGGAGCCACTTGCATTCGCATTTTCGGATTGTCTTTCCCACCTAAAGTGAATTATCTTAAAAGCCCAAGCTCGGAGCTTCCCCCCTGCATTTGCAATGTCTCTGGAATCTTTGAGAAAATATATACCTTTATTTTTAAAAATAGCTTTTGACATTCTTTGAAAATAAGAGGAGTGCCATCTACAAGCCACTGCTGGACAATATGAAAACACGACAGGTATTTTGAAATTAAGTTTTGACAAACAACAGAATCTAAAATCAGGTCCCCAGAAATTCACGACACTGTTTAAAGCAGCCTGGCTTGAGTTTGGTAAAACAGACTCGTTAGAGTCTTTTTGTACATGTAACATTTGTTTTCCTGTAATAAATATTTTCCCCATGGATCCCAACTGTCTTCCCCAAACAGCACTATGCTCTTCTCGGGTCTTGAAAAGGGCGTCCAGAAGTCCAACCCTCCCCGTGTCCAGAATGCTCCCGATAGCATGGGTCCCACTCCCTGACGGTCCCAGAGGACAACCGCTGGAGGGGTTTGGGAGCCAGGTCAGAGGCAGCGTGCTATTTCTTTCCCCACAGGCAGCAAACTGCCCAGAGAGGTATAGGTTGTGGAGGGCTCGGCTGTCCGCACACCTGGACTGCAAACAACCACCGGTTTGAGCAAATAGCTGGAGGTTGTTTGTGTTTTAATCCTAAAATGAATGTAAGAGTGCGGCCCAGTGACTTCTGGGCCTTCGTAAACAGAAAATAGTTGTTCCCGAACGGCTTGCTCCCTAGTGGTCCTCATCAGGGGTCCCCAGCGCCGTCCAGGGTGGGGTCCCCAGGTGACGAAGCCTCGCCCAGTGGCTGACAGCACCTGCGTTTCAGGATGCAGTCGAGGCCGTGGTGTCCCTGACAAGCACATCTGCTGTCTTCCCCGCCCTTCCTCACCCAGCCCAGCCTGGGAATGAATCCACCTCGGAAACTGGCCCAGCTGGTGTGGCCTCTGATGAGTGGTTGGGTCATGAGGAGGCGGCCTTGGGCTGGGAGAGGTGGGAGCCCCAGGGGTTAATTTGCCCGCATAGTTCGCAGCTGATTCAAGTCTCGGCCATTAGGCTTCTGCACTCCTCGTCTTCCTGTCCATCCTTGACAACCCAAGACTCCACATGCGGACCCTTCCTTGGGCCCGGGAGGCGTGGGGGGCCCTCCGGCTGTGTGCGCGGGCCGTTCCGCTGGCCTCGCCGCTGTCAGCAAACGCCTGTTTCCCAGCGTGGCCCCTGCTCCCAGGAAGACCTTCGTCTGTTCCTTCCCCCCAAAACCCTGGGCCCCAGCCTCTGAGGTCAGCTACTTCCTCGGGGAGGTCACCTCCCAGGCTGGCGATTTGGGGGTCCGGCTGTGAGGGTCAGGGCTGGGCGCTGAGATTCTGGGGAGCACGTGTGCTTTGGGCCCCTTCTGTTTGTGAGATCAGACTAGAGACTCCTGGGTGGGAGTTCTGACCCGGCCGCGTCCCGCCATCGGGCCCCCATCCAGCAGAACTCCTTGTCCCCGAGAGGGAGCCCCACCTGGAGCAGGTGGGTCACTGGCAGGTGAGAACACCCCAGGGCTGGCCACCCCGCGGAGGGGCCGCACCCGTCTTCCCACCTGGCCCAGCCCCGGCCTGGAGGGAGGAGAGAGCATCTGCGGGGGCTCCTGGGCTTGTTTCTGGGCAGAGGCTTCCATCTCACATGTGACCCTGACCCAGAACCTGCAGTTTCCATCTCAGTCTAGAGCTCAGGTGCTCAGCTCAGCTCCGGCCTCGGAGATCGCCAGCCCTGGCTTCCCCGTCATGCCCAACCCGGCTGGGAGCAGGGAGCTGGAGGCCAGGCGATGCCACCACACCTCCGGTGAGCACCATCCTGACGCCCTCCCTCTGCTCCCCGTCTCCCCTCTGCCCACCGCACCTCAGGGCCTGCGTCTGCCCTGGGGCCCCCTGCCCCGCCCAGGTCGTGGCCAGCCGGTGGGGAGGCGTGGATGGGGCAGCTTCCAGAGTCGCCCTCAGCCCGGCCTCGCTGGGTGGCCCTGCAGGTGCCTCCTCTCACGCCTGCTTCCTCACCAGCAGCACCCAGGGCAAGATGGCAGCGACCACCGCCACCACGGCGATGAGGGTGATGAGCAGGAGGGCCCGGGAGCGGCAGCAGAAGGACCGGGTGGAGCGGGGCGCCGGGGACGCCTCGGAGAGCTCGGCCAGGCTGCGGCGCGGCAGGACGCTGTCCTGCTCCCCCAGGGGCATCCCGTGGCGGCTGATGATGAAGATCTGAGGCTCCCGGGGCAGGCTGGGCAGTAAGTCCAAGGGCAGCTGGGGACTCTGGCTGGGGGACGCCCTCCAGACGAGCTGGGAGCCGGCCGTGGGGTGGGTGTGGCCCCCGGGGCGCTGGCCCCCCGGCGGCCCAGGGGGGCAGGCCCGTGGCACGGCCAGCGTCTGTGCGCTCTTGTCCAGCATGGAGGGCCAGCGGGAGCTCTTCTTGCTGAGGAAGGTGACGTAGCGGCAGATGGGGCAGACGATGGTCCTCTGCACCTGCCCGTCCACGCGGGTGGAGAGCAGGTACTTGACCAGACAGTCATGGCAGAACACGTGGCCGCAGCTCAGCGTCCGGCTGGCGCCCTCCAGGTCGCGGAACTTCTCGTAGCACACGGGGCACTCGCTGCCCGAGCTGTCCTTGCTCTCCCCTTCGGACATGGCCGCTCCGGGGAGGCAGGGCCTCAGCTGCGGGCGGGAAAAGCCGTGGGCGTTAGTGCCATTGCCCCCCTTCACTCCCTCCCTCATCCCTGCTACACCCCTGCTCCCCCTGCTCCTTCCCTTTCTCCTCTCCTCCCCCCCTTCCCCATCCTCTCCTGCTGCTCCTCCTCAGTGGCCTGCCTGAATCCAACCAAGACCGAGAGCTGAGACCCTGGGGAAGAGACCAGGGTGCTCCTGGAAGGGGGGCTGGGAGACAGATAGTGAGAGATGCCGGCCCAGCCACCGCGGACTCTGGAGGGAGGCACGGAGTGTGATGAAGGTGCAGCCTCCCTGGCCCCTCACCTCCCGCCTGACACACACACAGGGTGAGGTCACCGCACCTTCCTGGTTCCTCCCAGGAAGTGAAGGCAGGAGACCCAGGGCCCAGGGGAAGCGGGTGGCTGCGTGGCCGCTGCCCCAGCCTCAGTCCAGGCCCCCGTGTGGGCCTGTGCCCTGTTTTCCAGAAAAGCCTCTGCTGCCCCTCCGTCTCCTGCTCAGCGGCTGCCCGATCCACTGGTCTGTGTCCAGCCCCGGGTGGCATTCCTCTGTGCTGCGTGCGGCTGTTTTGAAAATAAAGCGCAGAACTTACACATCCAAACGCCTGCAGGCCGTCTGCGTGGTCATGTCAGGGAGCCGTGGGCTCATCCTCCGCCTGCCACGGCTCAGTCGTTCGAATTCCGGGCGGGCGGGCGGCCTCGGAGCTGCTGATGCACCTGCGGAGCCCGAGGTTCGGCCTGTGAGTGTGTCTGGTCTTGTGAAGGCGGCCGAAGCCCTGGGAGCCAAGCCTGGTGGGGAAGGACATGAGTGCTAAGTGGCAGGGAACTGTTTTAAACCAAAGGTCTGAGTCGCCACGAGGTACAATGTGGGTTTTAAATATTATCTGAGAGGAAAGGAGAGGCTCCCAAAAATGTTCTCAGGGCGGGGCCGGCGTGGCTCAGTGGTTGAGCGTTGATCTAAGGGACCAGGAAGGTCACGGTTCCATTTCCCGGGTCAGGCCACACGCCCAGGTTGTGGGCTCGATCCCCAGTGTGGGATGTGCAGGAGGCAGCCCTTCAACGATTCTCTCACATCATTGATGTTTCCATCTCTCTTCCCTTTTCTCTCTGAACTCAATAAAAATATATTTCATAAAATGTTTTCAGCAATGGCCGAATTGTTGGATTAAGTGCACAGCTTTCCAAGATGATGATCTTGAAGGGAAACACCCGTTTGGGCATTTGGTGAGGTCCATGTGTCCTCACTGAAAAGTCCCCAGTGTTGCCCTAGCCGGCTTGGCTCAGTGGATAGAGCGTCGGCCTGCGGACTGAAGGGGCCGGGGTTTGAGTCCAGTCAAAGACACGTGACTGGGTTTTGGGCTCAATCCCCATCTTCACTGGTATATCCTTTCATCAATGACATTAGTCTCCTTCCATCTACCCAATTACTCAACAAATACTTATTGAATGCCTGCAGCTTGCTAGGTGTTGAGCTAGGCACTGACGATAGCAGAGATCAAGAAAGTCCTTCAGTGCACCTATGGATGAGGACAGTGGGTAGGGAGTGAGGGCAGAGGGTGAGGTTGGAACTGGGTGGAGGGGAGTTATGGTGGGAAAAAAGAGTAACTAATGTAAATCTGAACAATAAAGATTTAATTAAAAAAAAAAAGAAAGTCCTTCATAAAGTTTTAGAGCCTAATGGACATTTATAAACTTTCTTGGAAAAATATTTTCTTTTTTCAAAAAAAAAAACAAGGAGGAATGATGCTCAATAGCTTAAATTGTTTGGGTAACTGAGAGGTAGGCATCAAGATAGGCAAGAGAATTAATGCAGAGAGATGAGAAAGAGTGGATGGGAGGGGGAGAGAGGGGGGAGGAGAGAGAGAGAGAGAGAGAGAGAGAGAGAGATATTGATTGGTTGCCTCCCACAACTGCCCTGACTGGTGCCGGAGATTGAGCCTGCAACCAAGGTACATGCCCTTGACTGGAATCGAACCCGGGACCCTTCAGCCTGAGGGCCCGCTCTAACCCCTGAACCAAACCGGCCACGGCAAATCTAGTTTTATAGGTGCAGAGAGGAGGAAGTGACTTGGAAAGGTGATGGAGAGGGAGATGGCAGAGAGGAGGGAGGAAGGAAAGGAGAGAGAGAGAGTGAGAGAGAGAGAGAGAGAGAGAGAGAGAGAGAGAGAGAGAGAAGGTTCCATAGATGAGATAAAGAACATTATTAGAATCAATTAATAGATTGAATAGATATTAGCCGCGTCAGGAGCACTATCCTCTTGGGATCAGCAGCGGTGGGAAAAGAGACTCCTCCATGTGAGTTTGTGAAAAAGTAAAAGGGATTCACAGGATGGGAAAGACGTCCCCTTCTCACCGCCGGCCTCTCGGGCATCCTTCCTCCTCCGTGCGCTGCAGGAGAGGCGTGTCATTCTCGCCAGACGCTGCCGCCCTCCTTCCCACCTCCTACCGCCCTCTCTCAGTCTCTCTGGCCTCTCCCTCCTGGGTCCCTCCCCTTCCCTTCATTTCACTTCGTACTGTATCCTGGAGTTCTTCTCAGGGGCTGACTGTCTGGGTGCTGGGGCGGGGAGGGGAGAGGGTAGCAGAGATGCAGGGGCAGCTCTGCTCGGGCACAACTCACTAGATCACAATGCCAGGCATTCCCGCCACAGGCTCTCCCAGCGGCGCTTCAGGAACCGGCGGGAGAGGAGGCTGGAGTCTCCAGGTGAGGTGGGCCCAGAGCGGAGCTAATAATAGATAATTACAACAGCGACTGTTTGTTGGACACTAATTATGTGCTTGGCATCTTGCGTTCCTTCCTCATTTAGTCCTGACAACTCTGGGAGGTGGGTATTATCTCCATGTCACAGGTGAGGGAAGGAGGCTCGGGGCTGAGGCTAAGCAGCTCGGTCAGAGTCACACTGCCAGCCCCGGGCAGCCCTGCTGTGTACCGCTGCCCCCCCCCGCCCCCCTGCCCCCCGCCCCCCGCCCCCCGCAAGGGCTTGGATGTTCCTCCGTGGGGGGGCGTTCAAGACCCTGATCCAGGGAGTAGGTGGAGAATGGAGAGGAAGAGAGCAGAATAGGATGTCCCATGCCTTCAGGCGTCTACAGAGGCATCGATTTATCTAGCATCCCGGGGGTGGAAAGCCCCCAACCAGAGCCTCCCACCCCACTTTGTGTACATTTAGATGGGTACGGTTTTTGTTGGCATGTCAGTCAGGACCCTCACTCATAAAAGTAGGTTTTATATATCCGAATAGATGAAGACGCATTCCGGTAGGAAAAGGGGCTGCCTTCAGGCTCCCTCTCTCCGAGGGACTCTGAACAGGAGCTGCCACTCTCAGTGCCCTGGGGTCTAGGGAAAGAACAAGGCTTGACCCAGGGGAGCCTG